CAAAAGGTATTCAAGGGCATCTGGGCAGAGCACCATCAGTTTATACTTCACAGATATCTCCTGGAATTTGAAAGTATTTAGGGAGGGGAGATACACTGAGTATCAGTTGACTATCGATTAATTACCAATTAACAACGGAATTATTGGTAGACAGGAAAGAGTTATCTCCGATGCTAAAAGAAAACACCCTTTGAAATCAAATGGTATTTGCTTCCAATGGACTCAGTTAATATACTTTTAGTAAAAATCACATCAGGGTCCATAGGCTTCTTAAAAGGCAAAGGCATCTTGTTTGGAATCTTAGCTACCAGATGCAAGTATGTTCCATGGTATGTGTGCATGTGGTTGGTGGCGGTGGGTGCAGGGAGGGGGGGGTATCAACACTTGCCATTTTCCTCTGAAGCTTCTAACACTTGGAAATTTGTCATAGAAGCTTTTCTCATCTTCAGTTCAAACACTTTTCAGCAGGAATTTAGCTGAAGTTAAAATCACCATCTGGTGTCTCATATTGAACCAGGTTCTTTGTGTGCCAAGAGCTTCTTCTTTTGGCAATGACATTGACTGTGATCTTTCAAAAATGTTTCTTGGGTTGGCATTCTTGACTGAACAGAACAGGCAGCCTGTCTTGGAATTTAGGAAGAGATGTGCTGAGCAAGTTTTTGCCCCAGGAATAAAAGTGCGAGGTGAAAAGTTGAAGATTTGAGGTTTTGAAACTCCAGAATTCACTTATTATTCTTGTTGACCTAAAACCAGCTAAGGAAAACAAATTTCTGCAGAATGATTAGTAGAAGCAAAATGTTGCAGGAGGAATATTCCATTTGAATCAATAAATACTATTTAATCACTTTCCAGGTGCAAAGTGATATCCAACCTGCTGTAGGGACACCAGGATGGCTAAGATGCAGTTTTTGCTCCTAAGTGCTTCGGCATCCACTGGCTGGAGGCAGGGGATAACTGTGGCCGATTAGGTGGATACAAGGCAAACTATTCTAAGAAGCATAACTGACATTGTCAGCCTCCTCCCAGGTATTCTGGGATTTTTTTCTACCATTTCTGTGTGTTCCTCCATCTGCTCTGACATGCTTTCATTGCCATTGGCCTGCACCTGTGACTCTTTTGGTGGCTGTCATTGGGCTGCTGTGTACAAATGCATGCAGAGAGCAGGAAGTGCTTGGGAACTGACTCCCTAGCCACTGGTTGCTCAGTGTGAGAGAAAGCAAGCCCAGCTCCCTCGGCTTAGAGAAGGACATCAATTAATGGCCAGAGTTTCCCTATGGAATTGAGCTGGGCTACTTGACTTGGGACTTTCACCAAATTTCTCACCATTGCTTGGTCCCTTTCTCTTCCCTGTCTTACTTCCCTCATTCACTTGCCAGACTCTTTGGGGAGCATTTCCTTAACAAAACCCTTCCCTACAAATCCTCCACTCATGAACTGCTTCTGGGAACCCAATAAGGGGCATAATAAGAATCTGAACAAAATGCTATGGGAGCACAGAAAAGAGGAATTAATTCTGCCTGAAGAACAAGGAAGTTTCCATAAAAGGACAGAGCATTTGAGCAAGGCATTGAAAGGTAATTTGGAATTTGCCAGACAGATAGAATTAAGAAATGTCATGATAGATCTGGGGAAAACACACCTACGAAGGAATAATCAAGGTAACGATGGGGAGTGACAGGAGATGAGGTTGCTAGAGTTGGTTGGGATAAACTGAAGAAGAGTCTCCAATGCCATTAAAGAGTTTGACTTTTAAAGACTAAAACAATTGGTGATAGTGAGCCAATGCAGGTTTTTGACAGGGGAGAAATATGGTAAATCTCTTTTGGGAAAACAATTGAACAATAATATAAAACATGGATTGGAGAATAAGAGACAAATAGTGGAAGCCAGTTTGAGGGTCATTGCAATATTCTAAGAGAGGATGATGAAGGCCTGACTTAGAGTCCTTGACATGAGGATGAAAAGAAAATGACAGATCTAGAGACTGAACAATTGGACTTGGTGGCTAACTGGATATATATGGTAATAGTGTGAGAGGTCAAAAGTGGCTGAGGTGTTGGGCTGGATCACAGTGGATAATGGTGCCATTGACCAAGAAAGAGAAGCCAGGGAGGAGAAAATCAGGGTGAAAACAGTCAATGAGTTCATTTCTGGAAAAAGAAAAAAAAAATCCCAATAACTTAAATACATTTGAATGGAATCCAAGTAACCTGAGAATGAAGAACAAACAAACAAACTCAGAATATTTGGATACTCATGAAGTTCTTGTTCAATTTTAGAACAAAAGCCTGGGTGTTGTGTGGCTTATGCATATAATCCTAGCACTGCGGGAGGCTGAGGCAGGAGGATTGCTTTATCCAGGAGTTTGAGACCATCTTGAGCAACATAGTAAGACTTCATTCCTACAGAAAAAAAATTAATAATAATAATAATAATGGTTAGCCTGGTGTGGTGGTGCACACCTGTGGTCCCAGCTACCTGGGAGGCTGAGGTGGAAGAATTTTGTGAGTCCAGGAGGCTGAGGGCGCAGTGAACAGAATTGTGCCACTGCACTCCAGCCTGGGTGACAGAGTGAGATGCTGTCTCTTGAAAAAAATAAAAATAAAAATAAAAAACCTAGAACAAAAAGATACTTTAAAAAATTAGCTTTCTAGACAGGAATCAAAATAACAAAATTAACAACAGAAACCTGGACATCCATTTAGGAATACCTAAAATTCTGAATGTAATGCTTCAGTTTCATCATGATTGTATTCTGCTTATTGAAACTAGCGTGAGGAGTCTGTATGGTCTAAAGATTGAATCTGAAATGTTAAGTCTGTATGGCCGTTTGAAGCAATCTCTGAAAGCAGAGTTCTATGACAATAGTGCTAAAAGCAAGAAGAAAAAAATCGTGCTTTTAGTGTTCACAGACTATAATCTGTGTAACATAACCAGCTTTTTTAAGAGAAGCTTTGGAATAATAGTTCCATCAACAGACAGTGGTCATTTCCTAACCTTTAATTATTGCTGTTTGCTTGCTTATGGCTGTGGCCCTGCATTGATTTTTTTTTTTTTTCTTTTTGAGACAGAGTTGTTTTTTTTTTTGATGTTGTTGTTGTTGTTTTGTTTTTGTTTTTTGGTTTTTGGTTTTTTTTTGAAACAGTCTGTCACCCAGGCTGGGGTACAGTGGCCCAATCTCGGCTCACTGCATCCTCTGCCTCCCAGGTTCAAGTGACTCTCCTGCCTCAGCCTCCTGAGTAGCTGGGATTACAGGCATGCACCACCATGCCTGGCTAATTTTTGTATTTTTAGTAGAGAAAGGGTCAGCCAGGCTGATGTTGAACTCCTGACCTCAAGTGATCTGGCACCTTGACCTCCCAAAGTCCTGAGATTACAGGCATGAGGCACCACACCCAGCCTGCATCAGTTTTTACAAAAATCAATATGCCCATGTGGGAATTGGCATCCCTGCATTGCCTTGATATTTTAAGGAGCATACTATTAGAAGAAAAAGCACAAGTGCAAATTGTTAAAAAATGTTTCAGTTTAAGGAAAAGTCTATTTTATACAAGACACATTGTTTCAAAAGCCAAATGAATAAGGGCAGCAGAGAGGACTTGTTACTCTGTAACAATGCTGCATTTAAATTCTCTTTGAGAACCCTTTACACTTAGAGCCTCTACTACTTCCTCCTATCCTAGGCAAGAGGTAGATTTAGGAAGTAAAATTATGCATGTAAATAATGGAGGAAGAGAAGGGAGGAAAAACAGAAAGCAAGAGAGAGGTCATTGGCTGTGTTTATTTGTTTGATCTCTTCCTTCCTGCTGCCCTTCTTTCTTTCATCCTTTCCTCGGTCTCTCCTTTCCTCTCCCACTTCTAGGAATTACTGAATACGTACTGTGTGCCAGGGACCAGAAGCTAGGGCTACCACACTAAACAAATGAAACATACATGATCTCTACCCTCATGGAATGTAGGTCTATCATACTTGATTTTATATTCTATGTGTAAATAAAATAGATCACATTTTCTTCACGCTTGTTTTTTCTCCTTCCTATTGTATATTAAAGCATATCGGGTTTACCCATTTGTTGGGCAAATGTGCTAATCATAACCCAATTAGGCTGCCTTCATTTGAAACCCAACTCTCCCATTTAATACTTGCGTACGTTTGGTCAAGGATTTAACTTGTTGACTTTCCAACTCTTCATTTATAAAACATACATAATAATAACACAGCCTCATAGGATGTTGTGAATATTAAAGAGTCAAATCATTTAGAACTTAGAATGGATTCTCTGACACAGTGAGTTAGTTGATTTTAGCCGTTGCTGTTTTATATTACACACAGGAATAAAAAGATAAAACAGATTATATTTTCAAGGAGCTTACAGTCTTGCAGGTGGAGACAGACAGGTACAGATAAAGGCAATAAAGCGTGGTAAGTGTGGTGGGTGAAACGATGAAGAATGGAGACTACAGTGAGGGGGGTGCACAGAGAAGGGAGTGGTGAATTCTTTTGGTCAACTCTTTTGAGACGGATGTAATATCAACCCAAAGTAGTTTCTTATTTCCCTGACGCTTCAGTAAATGATCCTTCCCTATTAAATGCCTGTTTTGACGCTTTATTTGCCCATAGTTGTTCCACTGTAAATTAATTACGTAAGCACAAATGAAGGCTTTTCATTAACGAACATTGTGGTCCCTCTTTATTTACACTGTGAAAAAAAGGACCTTCTCATAATTGGGGAAATAAGGTTACATTTACCTGATTCTTATGTTTAGTGTCATATTTCTTATAGAAAACAGAGTTGCTCGTACAAAGGGAGTATAGGCCTTTTCTTACCCCAGAAGGTAGCCAGGGTAGTCTTATTCCTTTTGCCAATGACTAGCTAAGTCATGGGCATATGATTTCACTGCAGCTGATGAGACCCAAGAGGAAGTAAGCTGGGGCTCTGAGAAGGATTTTCTCAAAAATACAAGAGTAGTTTTGTGGTGAGTCATGTGATGAACTGTGATGAATTTTGGGATGAGGTCCTGAAATGTGTGCTGGGCACAGAGCCTGAATCGGATTGTGGAAACATGAATTTATTTTATTTTTACTTTTTATTTATTCATTTACTCTAGAGACAGGGTCTTATTCTGTTGCCCAGGCTGGAGTGCAGTGGCACTATCACAACTCACTGCAGCCTTGAACTCCGAGGCTCCAGCCATCCTCCCACCTCGGCCTCCCAAAGTGCTAGGATTATGGGCATGAGCCACCTCCCGGCCTAATTTTTCAATTAAAAACAAAACAATATGAGACTGATGGAGGAAACATTACTATTCTTCTCTGAATGTTTCTGGTCTACCCATGATGTCTGGCACTGCTGTAGCCATCTTGTAACCATGAAAGGAGATATGGGCAGCATCTTACGGATGGCAGAGTAGGAAGACAGAAGTAAGTGCATTCCTGAAGGCATCTTTGAGATGCCACATTTACCACCTTGGGCCTTGATCCACCTCCAGACTCTTTGCTGTGTGAGAAAATAACCCCTCAATTATTTAAGCCACTTTGAGATGGGTTTTCTGCTTTCAGTCAAATCTTTCCTACAGCAGCCTATATTATTGTCTTCAAATATTTGGGGCACTTGCCTGCCGGAAGTTTGCACCTACTCTCCCTTTTAAGCCCAGTCCTGGCCCTGTGACTTGTTCTGACCAATAAAACCTGAGCAGTGCGATGGGACATTTCCAGGCAAAAGCTTCAAGAGTCAACATGTGGTTTGGCCTGCATGCTTCCTTTCCCCTGCCCCTGTGATCAAGGAAGCATGTTGAGGTGGATCCTCCATCAGCCTCGTTTCTCAATGACTATGCTAAGCAGGACCTTCTTGTTCCTCCCACAATGAACATGTGGAGTGGACAGAAAATAAACTTGATCATTGTTGCTGCTGAAATGTGTTGCTCTTGTTATCACACACAAATGCAGTCCATATTGACTAGCGGATATCCTAAAAGCTGTAGTACTAAAAACAGTTAAGTAAAGACTAGAGCTTGAGGTGCAGGACCTTAACCCTGAGTTGCCAGGGAACTGATAGGGAGCAGTGTATGTCAACAACTAAACAGATATTGGAAAGGACAGACTCATCTCTACCCACCCCATACACTTCCTGGTTAGTGAAATGAGCCTCGGAACAGTAAGTAATTTAATCCAAATAATGCTTTGAAAATGTCTTCACACTTCAATGCATTATTCAGAGTAAATTAATCACAGCTTATTAAATGTCTCTTTAGTATCTCTGACAATCACCTCATCACTTTGCCCCACCAACTTTTTTTTTTTTTTTTTTTTTTTTTGTAATGAGCTTGCTATGTGTTACCTTAACAACCCACTCAACAGACATCTACCCAGGGGCTTTTGGTAATGGCTTAGTAATCACATAGCTGAAATTCTGTTACACAAATATAAAACGAGGGTGATGTGTTGGTGGCTGGGTCAGGAGAATAATGATGACGAGATCTGATGGCTAATACTTATATAGCCCTTGTTCTATAGCAGGTTTTATTCTAAACACCTTGCATGTAGTAATTCACTTAATCCTTACATATAATGAGGCTAGCATTACAATGATCAGATTCAAAACATATTTTAGAGATACAATCAATAGGATTTGCTGGTAGATCATTTCATTTTTCCTAAATATTATCTCTTTTGAGCTACATTTCCAAAGCTTTTCTGAAACAATTTTAGACTCAAGCCATAGGCTGATGTTACTAATAGTTCTGTTCTCTGAGAGTGGCAAAGAGTTAAGTAAATGAATCCTGTAAAAGTCTTTATAAGCAGCTGGGCCCATATAACCATCGACGGAATGTTACTGGGCTGCTAGAGGCTTATGGAGTAGACCCTCTGAGGTGCAGAAGTCTTGGGCATGCAAAGAATCATGCACAAGTATGAAATAAATTTCTCTAGGAGTCTGTAGTTCTCTCTTTTATGGATGAGGAAACAGAGGCACAGAGATATTAAATACTTTGCCCCAGGTAATGCAACTAAAATGTAGTGACACTTGGATTCCATTCCAGGCAATTTGGCTTCAGAGTTGTGTTCTAACTCTGATGATTAACTAGGAGTGGGAGAGGGTTGTTCTTGGGGCAGCAGTTCTTGGAGAAAATCCTAGCTGAGTGTTGTCTCACAATTTGCAAAACATTTCTATGAACTGTTTTCTTCAGCCATAGGCTGATGCTACTAACAGTTCGGTTCTCTGAGAGTGGCAAAGAGTTGAGTAAATGAATCATGCAAAAGTTGAGCTGGGCCCTGATAACCATCAACTGACTGTTACTGGGGCTGCTGGAGGCTTAAGGAGTAGCCTCTCCAAGGTGCAGAAGTCTCGAGCATGCAAAGAGTCATGTACAAGTATGAAATGAATTTCTCTAGGTGTCTGTAGGAGGCTATGAATTGTAAGGCCTGGGAACAGTTAGCTAAGAGTTACTTCTGGGCTCCGCAGACACAGCAGTGACTGAGATGCATTTGGTGTCCTGGAATAAATGGCAGGGTAAGCCATTAGGACCAAATGTAATTTAAGAAGGGTGGGCTGGGCACGGTGGCTCATGCCTGTAATCCCAGCACTTTGAGAGGCTGAGGCGGGAGGATCACGAGGTGAAGAGATGGAGACCATCCTGGCCAACATAGTGAAACCCTGTATCTACTGAAAATACAGAAATTAGTTGGACATGGAGGCACGTGCCTATAGTCCCAGCTACTTGGGAGGCCGAGGCAGGAGAATCGCTTGAACCCAAGAGGTGGAGGTTGCAGGAAGCCAAAATCGCACCACTGTACTCCAGCCTGGCAACAGAGTGAGACTCTGTCTCAAAGAAAGAAAAGTGGGGGGCATTTTTCTGAGGCACAAGATGGGTGTGTGATGTGGTGTACATATGAATAGCGAGGTGAGGGCAAGAAGCTTGTATTTAAAACTGTTTCAGAAAAGCTTTGGAAATGTAGCTCAAGAGAGATAATATTTAGGGAAAAGGAAACGATCTACCAACAAGTCCTATAGGTTGTATCTCTTAAATAGATTTTAATTCTGAACACATCTCACTATCCCCACAGTGAGCTCTGTCAGCACCTTACTTAGGGTCACCATAGTGTCGCCCCTAGACTCCTTCATTAATTTCCTAACAGGTCTTCCTGCTTCCATTCTTGTCCCTTCCACTATAGCAAAAAGCCAAACTGCTTTTTCTCTACTTATACTCAACACAGAACACTTCTGGTCACAAAAATATTTGATTCTTTCCCCCACCAACAACCAATTCTCCAACACCAGCTAGGTGTCCTACCATTCAATTCAACTCTGCTATTAACTGGAGTTAGCGCAGACTCCCACATTAATGGCACAAATCCACAAGTCTGCCCCCCACTTCAGACACCTATTGCAAGTAATAAGTTGCCAGCTTCCCCACAACTTCTGCCCAACTTGGCTGTAAACCAGAGGCTCTCACGATCCCCTTCTTGGGTTCAATAATTTGCAAGAGCAGCTGACAGAACCCAGGAAAACAGCTTACTTACTATTGTCTATTTATTACAAAGGACATTTTAAAGGATAAAATGAGCAGCCAGGTGGAGACTTACAGAGGCGAAGTTCAGAAGCATCCTGAGTGTGGGAGCTTCTGTCCCTGTGGAGCTGAGGTGAGTTACTTTCTCAGTAAGTGGATGGGTTCACCCACCTGGAAACTTGCCCAACCTCCTAGTTCAGGGATTCTTATGGAGACTTCATCACAAAGACATGATGGATGATTAACTCCATCTCCATCCCTTCTCCCTTTCCTATAATCTGAAGGGGAGGGCTGAAAGTTGCAAGCATCTAATCATGGCTTAGTCTTTCTAGTGACCAGCCTCCATGCAGGGGCCCACCAAGAGTCACTTCACTAGAACAAAAGACTGTCCTGTCACCCAGGGAATTCCAAGGGATTAGGAACTCTGTTTCAGGAAATTACAAGGGTTTTAGAAGCTCCATGCCAGGAACTGAAAGCAGAAAATGTGTGTGTGTGTGTGTGTGTGTGTGTGTGTGTGTGTGAACTTATATTATTATTTATTCTTTTTTGTAGAGCCGAGGTATTGCGCCATTGCTCAGGCTGGACTTCCGGGCTCAAATGATCCTCTCTCTCAGCCTCATGAACAGCTGGCACTACACGCATGTGCCACCATGCCTGGATCAAATATACATTTTTATTATGTACACTGCCTCTTCCATTTGCCTCGTGGTAGACAGAGTGATCTTTCAAAAATACAGTCAGTTCCTGAAGTTTCTTCTCCTTAGAATAAACCCCCAATTCTTTGCTACATAATGTGGCCCTGCCTAACTCCTGGATCTCATTTATCACTAGCCCCACTCCTGCCTTTTCCCTGCACTGTAGTCCCAAGCGCCTTCCTGCCTCGGGGTCTCTGCATTTGCTGGTCCTTTGCCTGGAATACTCCTCCTGTGCACCCCCTACTACCACCCTTGGCTGTTTGCAAGGCTAGTTCCTTCCCCTCCTCTGATCTTGATCCAGATATCACCTTTCCAGTTTCCTGACCACCTTGTCCCCTTTCTCCCCACAACTCTCTCTCGGCCACCATCCATCCCATTGCCAGATTTTGTTTTCTTCACAGCACTCATCACTATCCAAATTGTCTTGTTTGTTCATTTGCTTGTTTAAGAGTTTGGTTCAGTTTTCCCTATTAGACTAAATGGCTTTTGTTTGCCTGATTCATGGCTGCACCCAGCACCTAGATCAGTTCCCAAATGCATACAGGCTCCATAAATTAAGAAATAAGTAATTTGGTGGGGTGCTACGGGAGGGATAGCATTAGGAGAAATACCTAATGCAGATGACAGGGTGATGGATGCAGCAAACCACCATGGCATGTGAATGCCTATGTAACAAACCTGCATGTTCTGCACGTGTAGCCTAGAACTTAAAGTGAAAAAAAAATTTTTTTAAGGAAGTAAGTAATTTAGGCTGGTGGTGGTTCATGCCTGTATTTCCAGCACTTTGGGAGGCCGAGGTGGGTGGATCACCTGAGGTCAGGAGTTCAAGACCAACCTGGCCAAGATGGTGAAATGCTGCTTCTACTAAAAAAAATATAAAAATTAACCAGGTGTGGTGG